TGATGTGTCAACAAAGCCTTCTTGAGCAAATTTTCAAACATCAAATTGATTGAGTGATTTATTGAAAGACATTGCGTTGCGAAAATTGACAAGTCATACAACGCATAATCTTATCACAATTGCTGCAAATAGTGCTGGAGGGGCCGGCAGGGCTGAATACGAATCAAAGCTAACATAACTACTAACACTGGAATGATCCCGGAACTAACACTTATCCATTGCACTTTTAGTTATATATTAGTTTTATTTTTCTACTAAGTCATCTATGCTTCTTTCTATTGTTTGGATCAAGTACAACTAATACTAATCTACCTTTATGTATGTTTTACTCCCTTTTAACCCATTATCTTTATGAATGGCGAATCATATGACGTGAGACACGTACAAGCTGGAACTCAAAGAATTACTTCGAACAGGATGTCAAACAAATTCAGGACCAATCTAAATGAGACCAGAAACCAACAAGGCGTCGGGGAGTTATATATTCTGGAAGAGGTATTTGATAAATAATCAAAAAGTGGTAAGTTAAAATCAGAGCCAAGGATCATGAGAGGTAATTGTCAATAATTCATTAATTAGTAGAAATCTCGATAACTTTTTCAAGGGAGCGTATCGGCTTTTGTAGGGGGTGCGTTTGGTCGTCGATTTGGCGTAACTGGTGGCTCACCCGCGCGTGCTGGCACTATCATCAGATAGGGGAAATTTTCCTCTACCTGCTGGTGGTGTTGATAAGCGTGTGCGAGCTGCCGGTTGCGCCGGATCGACGATCGGATGCATTGTTTGCAGGAGCTGGTGCTTCCCTTTGAAAAAAGTAATCGAGAAATAACCATATTATCCTGTAATTGATATTACTATTTTTATATATCAATGAAATTAGTCATGACAGAGTAACAGATGGGGAAGGACAATAGACACAAGTTGACACAATAAACAAGACAAGTGGGGGTTAATACACAAGACAAAATGACAAAATAAGTGACGACAGAAGACAAGACTGGGACAAAAATCAACCTTGAAAAAAAAAGAATGCGCAATTAGATTATCAAAACTATTTGGATCAGCACAAAAACAACAGTGACCAAACGGGCACCAAAGCCTAGGAACGTCTGTGTGTTGATTTAAAATAGAGGCTCATAGAATCAAAATTTATCAATAAAAGGGGTCCAGTGTAGAGTTTTAGCAAGTTGCTGCCACTGGATCACCACAAAAAAAAAAAAATGGATGTAGCAACGAAAATAATCCTGGTCACCGGATACCGGAGAAATTCCGCGTTTCCGGAGGGCTTGTCTAGCTTGCTAAATTTCTGGTGAAATTTTATATATGATGCTGGTTAAATATATATATTTTTAGTAAATACAACAATAGGAGAACCATTTCTTAAGTGAACCATATGCCAAGAACTAAAATCGGCCTATAATCAACCGAGATAAGGCCATTTCCCTGGAATCGGTTCTGGTGGAGGGTTCTGAATGCGGGCAGATCATTTAATCACTCAAAACATGCCGTGCGACAGCTCTTTCTTCATGGTTTCTCGTCAATAGACTTTCGATAAACTTTAAATGCATCATTGACCACATTGGCCGCTCTCGGAACCACTGGGATGCTCCGAGAGAACCTGTAGCAGGGGACAATTTCGTTTTAACTCAAAAACGTGCCGTGCGACAGCTCTTTCTTCATGGATTTTCATGAATATTCTTTCTATAGACTTAATTGATTGCTACGCTGAAAAGTGGCATAACGTCTTGTTGCAGACTTGGGGAGATCATTCTTTTTTTTTCTTTTTTTGTCAGTTTGACATGTTTGAAGTTGATCATGTGCCCACGGTTTGAGAAGGAGTAGACTGTGCGTGTGATCTAACGTGTTATTTTCCGTGGAGTTTTTTTTTTATCTATAATCGGTTGCTGATCTGGTCAAAACCAGGCCCAGGAGACGATTTCTAGTTTCTCAGCGAGTTCATTAAGACAGATGAAGTCCTGCGAGAGCTGCATCTCATTGTATCTAGTTCTACCTCCCTGTTATTTCCCGCAAGGAAGCTGTTCCCAAGACAAGTACAACCTCCACGAGGCGTCCCATCATTCGTCTCATCATTAGTTCCATCATTCGTCTCAGCGTTGAGTCGTAGGGCTGAACCTGACAATTGGCCACAAAAAGACTTGCCAATGCATATACACTTAGACAAATTAATCTAAATTTAGGTGCTCTGAGAGCGACACCTACGAGCGTCAATTTTGTCATAAATTTGAGTCATAACAGACGCGAAATATAGCTCAATCAAACGTACTTTTCGTCGAGCAACGAAGTTTTCAGTCTCGGGTTACGTAATGTTACATGACATTTTTGTTTACGTCTCATCTTTTATGTCAAAGATGGATTCAGTCACGTGTAAAATTAGTTATTTATAAGTGTGCATCAAAAATCGACTACATACATCCGAACATTTTTTATTTCAAATTGAGGGAAGACATTCCGCTCAACTACCATACACCGGGCTAGTTCATGTTGATCTTCGTCAAGCTTCGTCTAAAATTTGGAATTCTACATCAACACATGTCAAGCTGCCCTCGGTTCAATTAGCTAAACTTGGTAAGTTCGTTCCATTTTGTAAATTTTTATCTTTTCAAACCAATAACGTTGGAAGATCACCTTTTTGTGGTGCGTTACTGCTATAAGATCTACCACCGAACCCTAGTTGTGACAACTTCAAACTGGAGAATCAGGATTTTCCAGCAATCAAATGATCACATTTTAGTTCATGTTACTTTTTATGACTTGATAATAGTCTCTGTCCTTCTCCTTTTCCTTTCCCTCTTATCTTTTCAGAAAGCGAGTAATGGAGCTATAGCCATAAGCCATAAAAGGCTAGAAAAAGAGTTAGTGCTCATGTCTCAACCGTCAGAAGAAAATGGAGCATCACTTAACCTTTCTAGCTTTGATGCCCGATGTTTTCTGAATCATCTTGCCCCTTAAATGCTGCACAGTAGGCCTGGCCGTTTTTATATGTGTGACGCATCTTTGATGTGAAACATCAAATAGACAAGAAAAATGATGGAGGTATATCCATCATTTTTCAGGATGCTTTCAAGAACTGGCTGTGTTGGTGCTAGATTAGACAAAGTACACACTTATAATAAATCATGTAAATTTAGGTGCTCTGAGAGTGACATTTACGAGCGTCAATTTTGAAATAAATTTGAGTCATAACAGACGAAAAATAAAACTTATTTAGACGTACTTTTCGTCAAGCAACAAACTTTTCAGTCTCGGAGCACTTACGTCTTATGTTTTATGTCAAAGATGGATTCCGTCACGTGTAAAATTAGTTATTTGTTAGCGTGTAGGTATTTTTATATCAATTTAGGTTTCCTGTTCTACCATGTTATATTTGAATAAGGAGGAACTGTCGAAAACAGAACGTTGTTTTTTAAGAAATATTACGGTTGTAGTATTCCGCTTGATGGTTTACCCCGAATCTATCATAATCCAAAAATCAGTTATCATTATTACCAATGTCCTTCACAACGATATAAAAACTTATGCGGGAAATGTCTTGTTGATAACCCGAGTGCTACACATAATAAAGTCAACATTTGTGGCTTCTGTTATGCATTATTGTCAAAAATCACGGCATCAAAGAACTATAAGTCTTAAACAAAGGCTAAGAAAAAATGTAAACGCCTTATAGCTTAGAAGTAAAATAGTTTAAAACATAATTCTATCATATATACATTGTCTTGTTTGATCAAGTGTGCTATTTATGGCCTAAATTGGTTCTTTGTTTTATCTGCCGAAAAGCTCTATAGTGGTTTTCATAAGCCGCTTGACTGCACCACATGTTTCGAAAACATCTCATGTAAATTCAATCAGTAAAGTAACTTTTCGCCATGCAAATTCATCTAAGCCTACAAAAACCAGCGGCAGATTTTCAATTCCCAAGTAACTACCATCCTACACGGCCTCAATTTAGTAAACAGTCTGCGTTCCATCAATAAAATTAACACCCTATAGCAGAAAACATCTCCTCTAACCATTAAACAACACCCTCCATTAAAAAAAGTAGCCAGACCTCCACGGACAACTTGGGACGCAGCTTATTTCCAATACACACACACACATCCCATGGGCATTATCTCAACGGCTGTATCCGGGCCGCGTGAGTGGGAAAGTCTCGTTCCATTTCATCGCCTTTTATTGAATATTAAGCACTTTTCGATAGCCGGAGCTCTGAGCGCTTCTCAACAATCGACGACCAAGACGACAGTATTTTAAGATCGTAAAGCGAGGATAATGTCGTCGAACGTGCCAACGACGGAAGCTACTGGAAAATGTCAGCAGCTTGTTGCCCCAGTCATCGGTGGCACATTCCTCCGCCCTAGCATAAGGAAAGCCACCGCATCGAGTGGATGTGAATGTGCTAGCTACTCTGGTGGTGGACGACGGGTCGTCGCATTAAGCAGGGGAAATGGTTTAAGATTTGGTTCACCAAATGATGTGAGGTTATGCGGGAGCGAGAGAGCTTTCCGAGAAGGTAAATCGTCTGGCACAACAAAGTGCTTAATTCACCACGTCCTACGGGGAACACATCTGCCCGGGTGCTGTTTAGCTGTTTAGAGTTGCTTACGAACGGAAACTCATACATACTGTAAACATTTTCCAATTTTGCTTATCAACCGTGTCGACATATTTTGCCCTATGTTGATGACAGTGCGGAGCCATCGATTTTATGGCCAAACAGTAAAGTAGGACCGATTCGTCCTTATCGGTATTGCTACACCTTTCGCATGTGTTTATGTGCCCTTTCAAATCGACAGTAACTCGTGTTCACGTGGTATAGCGATGACACGGCGTTGATGGGCCGTTCGGTCAATTTTTACAACTTATTTTGAAGACATTCGAACATCAAAGCCGTACGATAATGGTATAATCAATGTCAAATAAGCTATTTGGTGGCGATGAATGAAGAAGCGCATGGATGAATTCTTTGCGATCTGTTTTGAACTTACCTCATAGATGATGAAGGAAAAATCCGCTGGAGTAATACTGGTATGTTCTGGAATGCGTTCCTCGAGGGCTTTGTCCAGGTGGTATTTTATGAATGCTTCCTGATCTGAAGAAGGTAAAGTGAAATTATGAATAGGTCATTACCATTGATATTTATAAACAGTTAGTATGAGAATATCAGTTAGAATTCAGTGACCACCAGTAAAAACTTGTTTTTCTTTGATTTTTTTCCCCGTCGATCTTGTTTTCCGTGCTGAGCACCAATGCTACCGACGCCAGGGAGGCAGCTCCCACACCTGGACCCTACCTATCGACCCATCAGCTCGTAAACCGGGGACCAACGGCTTTACTTCCCGTGATCAGAGATGTTATGCCTCAGAACATCCCGGTGGCACTGACTGGGATTAAACCCAGGCCTGCTGGGGTGAGAGATAATCACGTTCACCACTACACCACCGGTGTCACTCAGTAAAAACTTCTTGACATTAATCCTTCGTTGATAAATACATGTGTCGTCTGTACATTTGTACCGTGCCGATTCAAATTTCGGACACTTAAACTCGAATTTCGGACACTTTTAAAAGTTGATTATCTCGGTCGAATATGATCCACATGTCTTGTAAATTTTAAATTTTTTTGACTAGTGCCCTCCACGATCATCTAACATTATTACTTTGTTTCTAACTGGATGTAATATTTAATTAAAAATGAAAGTGTCCGAAATTTGAATCGGAACGGTATATAAATTCATGGTCAATTGAAAAACCCATATTGATCCACCTATCGACCTATCAACTCATGAACCGAGGATTAACGGCTACTTCCCTTCCGAAGGAAAGCGTAATCAGAGATGTTATGCCTCAGAACATCCCGGCGGCGCCGACTGGGATTGAACCCAGGCCTGCTGGGGTGAGAGGTAATCACGCTTACCACTACACCACCGGCGCCGCTATGCAGATAACTTTACTAAAATCTTCGTCTATGTCTATGTTATCCGGTAACTTAAGCAACGTTTCCTGAAATTGTACAAACCTCCCTTAAGTTTTACAAAATTTTATTCTACGAAGTTCCCTCAATTTATTCCAAATTCTATATTTTTCCAATTCTCGTAATTCTACGAAGATCTCTGAACATCTTTGCACTTCTGGAAAGACACTTATCATCTACAAATATTCTTGAACATTTGGAAAGTTCCTTGAAATTTAACGAAGTTCCCATGACCTCCAAAAAGTTTACGGAGCTTTTTTGAAGTAGGATCTCTGACAAACTACAATAAATTTACTGCTTTTTTAAGATCTTCTACAAAATTCCCTCAACTTTTTAGAAATTCCTTACTCTTACATGAAGTTTTATGCAGCTCCTCAAAATACTACGAAATTCGCAAAACTTTTACAAAGTGTGCTACACTTTTACGTTTCTCTTTGATTTTCAGCGAAGTTCAAAGAACGATTTTTTTTAATTTGTACGTAATGTCCACAACTATTCCAAGGTGGGCGTTGGCCAGATTTGGATTTTTCAGATATAATACTAAATAGGACCTACATTATTTAATACTCTAGTAACCTCAAGTCCGTGCTTTGTCACAATGTTTCATTGTAGTTAATCAACACTCAAATGAGTAAAATATCAAATTTGGACCGAATTTGAAAGAAAGGGAACTTGGAGTGTAGAGCGCACTGCCCAATGGACGATTCTGAAGCCTGGCCAAGTGAGTGGGATATGGGTTTATTTGATTGAACGTCATTCCCAATTTATATATTGATACAGTCAAACCATTGGCATTTGGTATTTCAGATAAGACAAAGATAGGTTGCGGAGGGCCCGCTTAGGGGGAGAAAATAGTTCAGATAGGCTTATAGTGAGAGAATGTACCATATTGGGAAAGCATAATTTTAATAGGGTTCAGAGCGACTGAGCTGTTCGGTTGTAGTTTGACCTTCCTTCTAAACCAATTTGGTTCAAGAACAATTCTCGATTAACATTTCAAATGGTCCTATCTGCTTTGATCGATTCTCTTCATCGACTTCCCCTTTTCCTAACCACTGCCATGCAAACAGATTTCGCGCTAATTCTACCACATAGTTTGATAAAGGAGGTTTTTATCTAGCGTCCAAAACGTCAAATACAACAGGGATAGCTTTTGCAGCTGAGTTATTGATGAAGGATAAAGTCGATGAAGAGAGTCGATCAATGCAGGGGGGTCAAAAGGTGTTTATCTAGAATTTTAAACTTGTTCTGCATTATTCACATGTTGCAATAATTGAAAAGAGATCGATATAAAGTAGTTTTATACAATTAAATAAAAATGCCAAAATCTTAGCTGATATGATTTCGGTACAGTTCGTTAAGATCGTGTATAGTTTCTGAGTATGGATTCCCATTTTGAAATAACTCAGGTTAGCACAGAGTAATAGTTTTATTGCTAGGGAACTTTCTTTTGGGATCGTCTTTTCTTCATACAATTATCATTATTCATTCTATATTAATCAGTCTTAGAAAATGTGATATGTTTGAGCTCAGTTCTAGATTAGTTTGTTATTAATATCTGTTGAATTGCGCTCGCGAGAGGTTACCAAATATAGGTTCTCTTTTTCATCCATAATAGTTCGGGGGAGGAAAAAGTGATGCAATCTGAGAGCGAAATAGAGGCAAATAAATTAGGGAACACAACCATCATGACCCAAACGACTAACCAACGCATGCGGCTTACACTTAACTTGTACTGTTTCTTTCTTCCTTTCATGTACCAATATTACCTGCCAGAGAACAAATGGGTGCCGACCAGATGCTCAATAGAAAGGAAAAAAAGCGAGAAAGCGTGAACAAGAAAAGAAGAAGTCAGAAAGGATCACGCCGGTTGGAGACAGCCAATTTATACTGGACGGAACTGATGAGCAACACGGGAATGCAGCAAACGTATCAAATGGCAGCGCAAGTGTGTGAAGCATGTGAATCAAATTCATCAGTACGTCACAGCAAAGGCACAGGGGCTTATGGCAGCAAAACCCCAACAAGAAAATCAAGCAAGCCAATAGGAATTTGACCTGGGCCCAGGTCAAGCAACCGCTCAGAACGGAGGTTTCTCGTGTTGGCCCTCTGCACCTCTGGAAGTTCCCAGGATACTTGAGTGAGTGAACGCGTGAAGAGGGACGTAGCCCGCAGGAGCGGAAATGAAAGCGGACATAACTCATGTAGCACAACAAGTCGTCGTGCTTAGTGGCTCCGGTGGTGTAGTGGTAAGTGTGATTCCTCTCACCCCAGCAGGCCTGGGTTCAACCCCAGTCGGCGCCGCTGGGATGTTCTGAGGCATAACGTCTCTGATCATGCCTTCGGAAGGGAAGTAAAGCCGTTGGTCCCCCGGTTCATGAGTTGATGGGTCGATAGGTAGGGTCCAGGTGTGGGAGCTGCCTTCCTGGCGTCGGTAGCATTGGTGCTCAGCACGGAAAACAAGATCGACGGAAAACAAACCAAAGGAAAAAAAAATCCTAGCTAGTTCTGCAAGTCTTCGTGCTGTTTTTGTTCTTCTCATTTTAGAAAAAAACAACAAATACTCTATTGCCATTGATTAAAAATCAACATAATATAATTTCTCAAAATTGTTTCCTCTAGTCCAAAACATGAGAAAAGTAGTCAACATTATGGGCTTTAAAAAAATCATTGTTTGTGATCCAATTTCAAAATCGCTGTTAAAAAGTAATGATTCGTTTTCCTCAGCCTTCACTCAAGTTAGATCCATTGTTTTAAATAAGATAAGTTTATTTTCAGATCGTAGAAAATTTGAATATATGACAACATTAGATTAACATAAAAATAATGCACTTTTTTCAGTTTTCATTCATGCGGGTTGTATGGATTTTAATTATTTAAGCTTGCTTTCAGCTCTTCGATGATGAAACACCTCTAGGATTATATAATAATATTTCATTTATATTTTTGAATTTTGCATTTATATTAAAAATATTCACTTTTTCAGCTTAGAGATGAACTAGCCTACAGAAGTTAAAGTAAAGTTAAAGTAAAGTTAAGGGGGTATTCCCAATCTTTTGCCTTTTTCTGCCTGTTTTTCAATTAATTTTTTTTTTCAAGGAAAATGAATAGTAAGGCGCCTAACTCTTTGGGATTCTTGTTTATTGAACATTAAAGTTTACAAATAAATTTTTTTCGACATAAAAAAGACATTATTGACGTCACAAAATGGTGGCAAACAGACCCCTGTTCGCCGCAAACGCCAGGACGGGCGAAGACTTTTCTCTGGAACGGCTTCATCTGAAACAGATTTCGTGATGAAATTAATAATCTGCATAAAATTCTCTGGAGCTTCTCCCGTTGGCAGCAAAAAATCTTCCAAATTAACAAAATGGCGGCCATATGAAAAAACAGGCGATTTTTAGCCCGCTTTTTTGCAGCTTTAAGGTGCTTCAAACAATGTTAAATGTTAATATTTTTGGCTGAAAGTGGGAGAAGCTCCAAAGAATTTAATAAGGAACAAAATGCGCAAAGATTCAAGTCAACATCTCTTATAGTTTCTGAGAAAAATCTTCGCCCGATAAAAAAAAATGGGGTTTCGAGAAAAACGCGTTTAAAGTTTTGACTTTAGTTAAAACCATTTTGGGGGTTCTTACCATTAGTCAGCTATGCCTGGACACCGAATTCGCTGATCGGAAAACGGCTTGGGGGGATGAAAGTATATAGTCTAAAGTACAAAAAAACGTGAAAAAAAAAATTTGATTTTTTGAAAAAAAAAGATCGGGAATACCCCCTTAATGTAAAGCTAAAGTAAAATTAAAATTAAGTTAAAGTTAAGTTAAAGTTAAGTTAAAGTTAAGTCAAAGTTAAGTTAAAGTTAAGTTAAAGTTAAGTTAAAGTTAAGTTAAAGTTAAGTTAAAGTTAATTTAAAGTTAAGTTAAAGTTAAGTAAAATTTAAGTTAAAGTTAAGTAAAAGTTAAGTTAAAGTTAAGTTAAAGTTAAGTTAAAGTTAAGTTAAAGTTAAGTTAAAGTTAAGTTAAAGTTAAGTTAAGTTAAAGTTAAGTAAAAGTAAAGTTAAAGAAAAATTGAAGTTAAGTTAAAGTTAAGTTAAAGTTAAGTTAAAGTTAAGTTAAGTTAAAGTTAAGTTAAAGTTAAGTTAAGTTAAAGTTAAGTTAAAGTTAAGTTAAAGTTAAGTTAAAGTTTAATTAAAGTTAAGTTAAAGTTAAGTAAAAGTTAAGTTAAAGTTAAGTTAAAGTTTAATTAAAGTTAAGTTAAAGTTAAGTTAAAGTTAAGTTAAAGTTAAGTTAAAGTTAGGTAAAAGTTAAGTTAAAGTTAAGTTAAAGTTAAGTTAAAGTTAAGTTAAAGTTAAGTTAAAGTTAAGTTAAAGTTAAGTTAAAGTTAAGTTAAAGTTAAGTTAAAGTTAAGTTAAAGTTAAGTAAAAGTTAAGTTAAAGTTAAGTTAAAGTTAAGTTAAAGTTAAGTTAAAGTTAAGTTAAAGTTAAGTTAAAGTTAAGTTAAAGTTAAGTTAAAGTTAAGTTAAAGTTAAGTTAAAGTTAAGTTAAAGTTAAGTTAAAGTTAAGTTAAAGTTAAGTTAAAGTTAAGTTAAAGTTAAGTTAAAGTTAAGTTAAAGTTAAGTTAAAGTTAAGTTAAAGTTAAGTTAAAGTTAAGTTAAAGTTAAGTTAAAGTTAAGTTAAAGTTAAGTTAAAGTTAAGTTAAAGTTAAGTTAAAGTTAAGTTAAAGTTAAGTTAAAGTTAAGTTAAAGTTAAGTTAAAGTTAAGTTAAAGTTAAGTTAAAGTTAAGTTAAAGTTAAGTTAAAGTTAAGTTAAAGTTAAGTTAAAGTTAAGTTAAAGTTAAGTTACAGTTAAGTTGAAGTTAAGTTGAAGTTAAGTTAAAGTTAAGTTAAAGTTAAGTTAAAGTTAAGTTAAAGTTAAGTTAAAGTTAAGTTAAAGTTAAGTTAAAGTTAAGTTAAAGTTAAGTTAAAGTTAAGTTAAAGTTAAGTTAAAGTTAAGTTAAAGTTAAGTTAAAGTTAAGTTAAAGTTAAGTTACAGTTAAGTTGAAGTTAAGTTGAAGTTAAGTTAAAGTTAAGTTAAAGTTAAGTTAAAGTTAAGTTAAAGTTAAGTTAAAGTTAAGTTAAAGTTAAGTTACAGTTAAGTTACAGTTAAGTTACAGTTAAGTTGAAGTTAAGTTGAAGTTAAGTTAAAGTTAAGTTAAAGTTAAGTTGAAGTTATATTAAAGTTAAGTTAAAATAAAGTTAAAGTTCAATTAAATATAATTTTATATTCTGTTTATACTCACGAGTGCGGGTGTGTGCGTGTGTATGCGTGTGTATGCGTGTGTTTTTGTGTTTGTGTACCTATTATAAATCATTACAATCAGCATTAGTTTACCAAAAACGATCCCTGGTGCTGCAAACCTTTCCCCATATCCAACATCCCAGTGATTTCTCGTTGAAGCGCAGAGTTTCCTTCGGTTTCCTTCACAGCGAGTATCACGTCAACACGTTCCTTCCCATTCCCTATTGGACCTGCATTCGGACACGGCCGGCGCTGGTATTGCTAAATATTAGATCTTCAGTTTTTACACATTGAGGATGAATGTTAGTCCCAAACATCATCTGTTGGTTCTCTGTGTAATTGCAGCTGATCTTGTAATAACAGAGTAGCAACCGTGGGCGGTCAATAATGCTAATGCTAATGCTAATTTCATAGAACGCTGTTAAATAGTAGCATCGAACGTGATAAGCTTTACAAAATACCGGTGAGTCAAAAAAAAACTAAAAATTCTGGGGGGGGGGGGCTAGATAATTCTGGAGGGGGCCTGGCCCACTTGGCACCCCCATAAGCTACGTCAATAAACATGAAAGCATTGTTCACAATGATCTCGAATAATGTTGAAGCTGCAGAAAAACTTGTTATACCACGGTAGTTAGTAACGTCACGTTTGTCATCCTTCTTGTAAACATAGAACATAAATATATTTTTCCATATTTCGAGAAAAACTCCTTGGTCCAACGAAGCGTTACAGATGCAAGCCAGAGCATCAGCTAAAGCAGCAACACAGTGGCAAAAAATGATTGCAGGTACACCATCAGGACCCGGTGAAACCGATTGCCTAAAGTTCCTAACAGCCTTGACTGCTTCCATAGAGCTTACCACGAATGTACGCAGATCGTCTCAGGAACATTGGAAGCAGCTCTTTCTACTTCATCTGTATTGGCAACTAAATTCGTGACTGGAAAAGAGATAGCAAGATTCGAGCAGAGAAGTAGACTCCAAATCGCCAAGGAATACGGATGTTGGAAAATTCGACGATTTTTGCCTGAAGTTCACAAAGTTTCAGAAGCTCTTGAGATTTCTACGTAAATTTGTCTGGATATGTAAGACATACGACTTGTATAGGATCGAATTAAGCTTACGATAGGCATTGCAAGCGCGGTAAGGATGCTTTTCGTTTCAGGGGTTCGAAGCTGACGAAGCTTACGCTGGCAGTAATTTTTATCGCATTTAAAAAGCCGCTGAAGAAAAGAACTCCAAACAGGAGATACAGGAGGTTTTCGTCAGCCAGTTGCGAATTATGTTGCAAAATTGTGCTGCCATATCGTTAATGTCGTTTGTTGCCAGAATACTGTTCCAAACACAGTTCAAAAGGAACCCGTCGAGCATGATGAAATCGATTTTTGAGTAGTCGAGCGGTTGTTGACCAGCATCAAGAGATTCCACACGGACATCAAAATCTGATTGAGATGGTAAGGAGAATAGAAATTCAGGAAGTTCGAACCGTCCACCAGAGCAGCGCTGGCAGCAGACATCATGGAAGGATCAAGGTTTTAAAATTCCATCATCAAGACAATCGCATGTTATGTGTGGTTCATTGTAGTCAGCACAAGCATCAGGCATTGCGTCGGGTAATTGACGAAGAGTAGATAAATGGGCATCGATAACACCTACGTCTTGACTACGACCTGGAGGAATATATACAGCGCAATGCACGAACCGAATAATGCAAAAATAGCAATATTAACCAATTAATTTATTTACTAGAAAACTCATCGGAGATTTTTGCCTAGTTGAATTTTGCAAGGCCGAAACTCATAGGCAAATAAACGCATGTAACAAAGGTGCACGAATCAAGAGGCTAGGGTTGCCTTTGCGAATTTACAAATTCATGTTGCTTCGTAGAGCTTCGCAGTTTTTTCGAAAGCACTTATTGATGAATTATCAGAGTGAATTTCAAATTTTGACCGCGAAATAGACCTTGAGGACTACAGTATGTTCTTCCGGGATATTTGGAACGAACATAGATGTGGTATGTTCCAGAAACAGGTCCTAGAGCTTCGCGATTTGTAATGAACTTGTTGGTGTTGTTGTCAGAATGAACTTGGAGTAGTAACCAAGGGGCCAGCATTATTTCAGAAGTTGTTACTGGAATACGGAACCTGAAGACCACAGGATGAACTTCTGGAAAGACCGGAACAATCGTAAATGTGGTCAGTTCATGAATCTGCACTTATTGATATTATTATTATTATTATTATTATTATTATTATTATTATTATTTAATTTTATTCATCGGACTATTGTCTACATGAAACAACCTTAAAGCTAAAACAATTCAAGTGTTTCTAATCCGTGCCAAAAAGCGAGATGAAGATTCCCCAAATTCGAATAATTCTTCGACAGCCGTAAACGTACGCATCATAGTTGTTAGTGGTTCGTTGTAACCGAACGCCGTTCGATGGTACCGCAGTTGGAGAAGGGTACCACTTCGGTGGTACTCGGATATCCAACAGCGAGAGAAGCCTCGAGCAGTCGACCTCACCATTCAATAGCTTGGCAACAAAAACTGCTTGCTGATTTTTCCGTCGGCATTCCAGAGTATCCAAGCTCAGCAGATTGCAGTGATACGGCGGGAGATTTTGCGGATCACGCCATGGTAGATTACGTAATGCTATCCTGATAAACTTGCGCTGAACACTTTCGATCCTCAAGCTCCAGGTCAACTGATGAGGAAACCAGACCAAGGAGGCATTTTCCAGGATTGGTCGCACAAGTGAGCAATAGAGAGCTTTCAGGCAGTGTGGGTCAATGAAGTCCTTCGATATTTTCGACACAAAACCTAGCTGGCGATTCGCCTTTGTGATCAGAGCAGAGCGGTGGAGGTGAACGTCAACTTATGGTCCAGTAGAACACCAAGATCGCTGAACTGGTCGGTTCTTTGAAGAACCACACCGTTGATGGCATAGTCAAAAACAATCGGCTGCCTGATGCGGTAATACGACATTACCATACATTTAGGAATGCTGAGGGTTAGCTTATTCCGACGACACCAATCAACGAACAGATCCAATACCGATTGAAGACGAATGTAATCCTCAGCAGTCCGCACCACGAAGTACAGCTTTAGGTCATCGGCATACGCAAGCTTACAGCCATCTCCAAGTAGAAGAAGTGCGTCGTTGATGTACAACACAAACAGCAACGGGCCAAGATTACTACCCTGTGTTACACCTGACGAGTTCGTGAAATACGAGGAAGTACTGGAATCGAGTTTCACTCGCAGAGACCTGTCAGTCAAGTAGTTATTATGTCATTTGTAGAATCCGAAAGAACCGTAAAGTTCCAGTTTTGGGTTTGTTCTTGATCTTTTGGAAGGTCATTCTGGAACCTCCCCCTCCCCCACATCGTAACAGAAACCAGATTAAAAAATGACCCATTTGCAAAATAAAAGCATTTTAATGTTGCACTCGTATACCTTCCCGGGAAAAAAATTGAAATCATCATCACTTTCATAGTTTTTCTATTCTTCACAGGGGCTAACTTTGATTTGCCTGTTATGCTGAAATGAGATTTTATCGTAAATAAAAATCTACCGGATAAGCTGTTTTTGAAAAATTAAATCAGGTTCCCACTGCACTGCAACTATTGCCAAAGCATTCACCACCCCCCAGCCACTAACTTACCTTCCGGTGCAACTGCATCAAAGTACCGCTGTGCAGCAGAAATCTCCCGCCCGTCGTCTCTCCCTTTTCCGTTGTTCCAGGCGAAAACTTTTCCCGCTAATCCGACGGTAATCAGCAAGATTACGGCTGCTAAGCTTCCCTTTCTTCGTTTTTCTGCAGGCATTATTGCTTCTGGTGCTGTTGCTGCTGCTGGGTCTGTCTGTCTAATTTCATAGCACTTCACCACCACTAAAAACGAAGACGATGGCAAGAAATAAAAATCTCGATTTCCGCTGCTGTGACGTCCGCTTCCTTCAACGAGCTTATCTTCAAATGGGATGAAACCAAATGACACTTGTTCGCACGCACTTTTCCGCAGACAATACACTCCCCCAATTTCCGTTATGTTTTTCAGTTTTCTTCACTTCCTGTTGAAACCTTTCGGTGACTTTTCCTACCAAGCGGCTCTGTATCTTCTGTTCGTTCAAATCGGGACTGTTAATCTGTTCTGCTTTCGCAGCGTTCGCACTCTTTCATCGACAATTTAGCGCGCCTATCGTAGCTTTGTGAGGTGCTAATCCGATAGGGGGATGATGCTGACTGTGGCATCGAAGGCTTTCCACGCTCGATTGGAAAAGGAAGCAATCGAAGCTGAAATACAAATTAATTCTTGCTCAAACACAACAGAAGTGGCCTTCACACCTACCTATAAAGTCAACAACGATCGAAAGCCAAACGGATCAGAGATTAGAAAAACGGATCCAATTGGGCGAACTCAACACGTATCGAAGGGTTGGAATCTGGTGGGGCAAGGTCAGGCGTGGCAAGCAGAGTGGTTCGTTTTTCAATCTTTTGGCGTTTATTGAAAAGTAGATAGAATCGATTGGAATCGTCCTGCCAGTCAGCTGCGTCTCGTGATTGACCGGTCTGAGGGCTTGGGCGGATGGAATCCCTTTGTTTCCTCCAAAGAGCTACAGCCCTGGCTGGCCAAACAGCGTGCCATTGGCACTTATCAATGGCGAGCATTTTTATTGCACGTTCCGATAGATTCGATTGCCTGTTTGTGGAGCAGTTCGATTGCAACTAATCAGGTATAATGTGACTATTTGTTTATCATTTTGCACGGGATATGGCATGATGGGGGAAAGATAGCACCAGGAGACACCCCAAGCCAAACAGATGGAGGCGCCCGATGCCGTGTGGCTAGTGCCAGACCAGGTCATAAATTTTCTTTGTTCGATGTGCTTGGCGGAACATTGCGCGGTTATCTAATGACTTGATGCGCGGTTATGACTGAAGTGCGGCTCTTTGATGACGGTGAGCTTATTAAAGTAGCGTTTATATTGCGTGCCAATTTTGAGTCAGCATTTTACATCAAGTGCAAGTACACTGCTAAGTGATAGCTTCCCGCAAATATCGAAAGCGGATATTCATGAAAAAAAAAATCAGCCCACCAGCATTTTTAAATAATCTGGGCTGAAAATCTTGATAGCAAAATATTGTGGGATCTCCCATTCTGTTGAAGTACCAATTTTATTGACAGCCTTAAATCATATTGAACGTTTGACAAGTTGATTGCTTCGTTAAAAAGAAAAGTTAAGAGTTGTGTCCAAAGCACGACCGCATTGTTGACGTAGAACTGCGAGATTATTTATGCTGCTCCATTTATTAATATACTAATAACAAACTAAATGGTTTTGAAACTTAACTCCAAAATTGATATTTTTTGACGTAGGACTAAGTCTGTGATTTCTATATGGGGGTACACTTTGTGAAAACCGAAAATGGAACATGTAACGAAATTATGAAAGATTTTGAACGATAATAACTCAGCTGCCCCTGAACCAATTTCAATAATTTTATCACCAATCGATCAGAAATATTTCTACGCATCGAGTTGATTTTCAACAAAAAACTATTGAAAAGGTGGTAAATGTCAAGCATTGACCAAAAGCGTCATGCATATGCTGCTTCCCCAACACTGTCATCAAAATTGCGTAACATTTTGCACATTCATCGTAATAATAAGAACCACACGCCCCCAACGACCACACAAAATGCTCTCCAGAGAATCTTGTAATCAAACTTGGAAGCAGGGGTGCAAGTGATTTTGATCGATTTTCTTCATCGACCTTCTATTGCGTTGATAATTCGAAGGCAAACACATTCATTGATACGTTTGTTGTTCTGGATGATAGATGAGCATAGTAGAAATAGTGCGAAATAGGTTAGTGAAGCCATGGTCATCAAAAGAGAAAATCGATGAAGAGAATTGACTTTCACCCCTCTGCTTCTAGGCCTCTTAAATCAGCCGTCGTCATAGCAATGAAAAATAGCATCGCACCGCCTTTGGTTCTTGGGTTACACTTGCTGGTTGCAATTCTGCTGTTCGAAATTTTTGAAGGACCACCAAAAACATGCAAATACTATTTTCTATGGATGCCTAGAAGTCCAATTATTCGATTAACGATTAATCTTAAAGACTTTTCCAGCTATTCGATTAAATATTTATCGATTTTTCAATTATTCGAGCGCGTAACCTTCCAAACTATCGCAGAAACCAGTTCAACCCCTGTGCAGCAGCAGCCGGGCCGAGACTCTTGCGAGTGCTCAATCATTGAACCGAAGAATATGGGATTGTCCAGTTCGATTTGCTGATCCAGCTGCCTACATGTCATCATCAACTTCCAAAGGCTTTAAGCATGTTCTACCATCGGCCCTTTTAAGGACCACCAAGATTTTCCAAAAGAGCTAAATTTCTGAACTTGTCCCATCTAAAATTCATATGAGGGAGTTAGAAGGAAAGAAGTGTAAGTGACTTTGATCGATTCTCTTCATCGACTTTCTCTTTTGAAAGCCACAGCTTTATAAACAAATTGTACGCTATTTCTGCCACATAGTTTGATAAACGAGGTTTTCATCTAGCATCCAGAATGGCATACTAATCAAGGAATGTGTTAGCTGCTAAATTATTAACGAAACAGAACGTCGATGAAGATAATCGATTAAAGCCACTTACACTTCTCTCCTTCTAACCCCTTCATATCAAAAGGTTCTTTTCAGGGTTATCAAAGTCATACTAAAGAGTATAAACAGAGACAACCCCGCTCAAATTCCTATTCCTACTTAAAACACAAGCTCTTGCTGCAGTTAACAAATAACATTTATTATATAAGACCACGTAGTCCTATGTCCCCATTGCGTACAACTCCATAGGGCTGCCCCGTGTTGTTTTTTAATTGCCTTGTTATTGAATAAACCCTAAAATTAAGATTCAATTTCGAGAATCAGTTCCATTATTACTCATAATTAGATAAACATGTTCACCCAACTTTCAGAAACATACTAATGTTAGTCTTGCAAAAATAGATTTAACAATCAAAGTACACCTGACATCACAAATCTTTATGTTGCAGAACTATGGCAGACAAGTGGTTTTCAACTGCAACTTATTAAAGTCATCTTAAATTTATTTTATCCACTGACTGTGCTCAATTAAAAAACGGTCTATTGGACAAAATATAGGATTGACAAAAGGTCTAATGGACAAAAGGTCAACTGAAAAAATATTGATTGTACAAAAGGTCGAAAGATGAAAGGGAGACAAAAGATCGAATGATTCTTAGAAACATAAAGATCAAATGATGATAATGTTGACAAAAGGTTCAACGGTTGAAAGGTCGAATGATGAGTAGAGAGGAGACAGTAGAATGGAAAAAACGCCCAATGATTCGAAGGGGGACAAAAGGTACAATGGAGAGCAAATAATACGACAATACAATTAATATTAAATAACATATAAAGAACGAACTGTGATTAAAGATGGAAAAATATTGATAATACAGTCCTAACTTTCAGTACCAGTTTAAAAATGGATGGGAATAACAAAAAACTATACAATCTGCAATAAACTTGTAAATCGACGAATTATTCATCGCGGTTTGGAAGGAATTCTTGAACTTTTTCTTTAATACGGTGCACGCGGTGCACAATGGTCTCGTCCACTGTTTTGGCGATTTTATCCCACCAATTTTTTTGTAGTGAAAACTCGCAAGATCCTACTAAAATGTCACCGGATCGTTATGTGACTGGATGAAGGGCAGAATTCGTTTCTGAAGACATTTGAATCGGAACCTCCTCGAGCCTTCGCCTTGTAAAATGTTGGTCCTGGAAGCTGTCCGAAGCCAGCCTTTCGTATGTGACATCATCCATAAGTATGCACCCACCGGACTTGGTCACCAGGTTGTCATACAGCCGGTTGCGAATTCGCTGCACTGTACTACGGGCGGCATCGTACTTTTTACTCAAATCGCGATCGGACACACCGGGAGATCGAAGTGTGCTCTGCTTCAAAACGGTCGCGAAAAAAAATCTACTATCAAATTACTCGTTTATTATGTTTTCGTCGCGGTTTTCCAAATTTTATCTGAAGATGATTTGCTAGTTTTGAAAATCGATAAGTTTTTTGAAGATTAGTTTTTGTGCATTTATGACCGATATTCCATTGGAAGTTTTTTTTTTATTCATTGGAAGTTAGGTATTTCCTGGGATATGATCCATTTGATGATTTGTCAACTGTTCAAAGAAGTACTTAGATGCTACTATCGTTCGGTTTTGTATTGTTTTTATACCAGTAGCTTACAATCAACTGGACAGGATTACTGGATACATTGGATTCATGTGGTGAGACCTTTCCAGTATTATAATTTGGTATTTATTGACTTACGTTTTGTAACAATCAGGAATTTTGTATAAATGTGTATATAATTTGATAATGTTAAATTGTTTGAATTAAATTCCTTAGGGTAGGCAGTAGGAAGACACAAGCATTTTTACTGAAATCTTTCCTAAGACGGGTCCACTTAATTCATGGATAAGGTAGGAAAGGGACAGTCGCGCAATTAAACGAGCCAAGTTATCTTTCGTGTTTTTAGATTCACGATAGGACACGAAGGGTTTCGGGAAATGATGGACTTCCGGTTCGTCCGAGTTTTACTTTCCTTTATCTGAGGATTCACGGTCTCGATCATTTCGTCCGTGACTTCCCAACGTTCTTGAAGTGTGCGCGTTTGTTCGTGGTCGTTTTCCCTAGTTAAAGTATGTAATTTAAAGTGATGTCTAGTGTTTAAAATTAATTAAAGATTTTTGTTCGTTCCTTTAGCTAGTAGAATAAGTGTGCGTTTAGAGAATTGTGTGTGATCAGGAGAAAGGCTAGATACATCTACAGGTAATTTTTGATGTGCTCAATATGTGCTGTCCATGTCCGTGCTCGTGCTTGTGCTCACTGTTCTGGTGTAGTCGTGTTAAATCGTTCGCAGCAATTCACCGTGCCCAAACGCAGCAACTTCTCCCCAACGGACGGAATTTCCCGGTAATCGCCAACCGGCCGGAAGCGGACGGATCCTTCACGTAATCGTTCCGAGGAGATTCAGGGGATCTCCACGTGGACACGGTCCACCCGCCGGTTCGTCAACCTACCGGCACGGCAGAGTAACCGCCATCGCATCGGCGTGTGAAATGCCATTATCAGCGAAGCACCTCCATTCATCGGATCACCATCGACGATCCCTAAAGAGTGCGTCGAACCCGTCGATAGGTCATCGACTGTGACCATCACGTAAACCAACATCATCTGGTGAGTCAAGCCTTTTCTATTTTTGGAGTGTGGCGTCCGGCGAGGGCGCCACGGAGTGATTTTTTGCCAGTCTAAGACTGATGAGCGAGTAGCGCCGAGTTTCCGTAACGGACGTATTGTAACGTTTAGTAGAAGTAACGTTTTTCAACGCCAACGTCGTT